ATAGCCACAATGTAGTACAACTAAACCCTGATGAAAATAAATATTATCTTCTCACTCCATATCCCACATTAATGCAATCACTCAAAAAATTTTCACCAGAAAGCATTCGCGCTATTGCTCGAAACCCAAATATAGACTTACAATCAATAGGAATCTATTCAAAATCAGATATTCAACATCACATTAGAACACAACAATTCCAAGAATTATTAACACAAATGGACACTATACAAAGACAATCAATAGACCAAAATTTACGCAAACTTGCAGAAACCGCAGGATTTGCCGATATCTACACGCAAGACTATAGCGGATATTTTAAAGACATTAAAGATTATATATATCTAAACGGCGAAAAATACCGTCCCCAAGATATATCACCAATTAACATTTTTAGCTTTGTTACACTCAAAAATGAGATCCTCGATTTTCTAGGATGGCCCTACTACATCTTAGAAAAATTGACTATTTTATACGCAATGTTTAACTTTATTGGATTTCTTTTCTCACTCTTAAAAGGAATCTACAATACATGTGCTATACACACACAAGTAAACAGACAAGCAAGCGTAGCACGCATACTCTTTGCAGGATTTTTTGGAATCTTTTCTACATCTATAAACAAAATTCTTTTAGACGCACAAATAAAAGAATATAACACAAAAATAACAACACGACAAAATACATACGACGAAGAACATAACAATGTCGACACACAGCCAACGGCACCACAATTACCACCCCTACCAAATAACCATCCACTATCCCTAGTCCCACGAAATTTTCGAAATTTAGCAATCACACATAATCCAAATTTTCGACTCAATACATCGCAAAGTCCCGTCCAACATATAATAACACATCAATCACAAGATGATAATACTTATGAACAAATTATTGAACAGCCCCATACCACCGCTTTTCAATCTCAAAATAATAATTTTTTTAGCCCACGATGAGCCGCCAACTTGGATCACTACACCGATCAAATTCCCATCCAACCAATCTTACCTCTCCAATCCCAATCATACCACTTTTTGCTTTTCCGCCACCCGATTTTCCATCAAGCAATGTAACATCAGGCATGAATTCCGACACTAACTCACATATTTCAGTTTTATACTCCATCTCACAGCTAAATAACCCGAATATTGACACCCCCGATGAATTTGCCGACTCAGAACCATCCCCATCCAATAATTTTCATAACCCTTCTAATTTTTCTCAACCCCCTTTTCAACCCATATTATCAAATAACCCTGACCCAATCACTCCTACACCCTCTTATGCTTCCCAAGTTACCCCAACCTACTCCTCATACCATTCTGACCAATCATCTCATTCTCCAGACACCCCCCGAATCTCCCCAGAACTAGATAATTTTATTACCCTCCAACAACAACCCTACCACCTTAACACCCCGACCATAAACCAAATCTCCTCCACTACAAATTCATCCAATCCCCCTACACCCTCTTCAAATTATACTGAATCATTAACACCATCATCCACATCCACTATATCTTCACTAAACACTAATAGAGCTTACCGCACTTTTAAAAGAAAATTCCCCAACCATCCTTTCCCAGAAAAACCAGGAACAGCCCGTGAATACATCAACCACCCCCAGCATACTAACACTAAAGAATTTTTAGCTATCACTTTACCCTCATTTCCACAATACACCTTAAACACCCCTCACGACGCTAACGAAACACGCAACTTTGTAGATGAATACGTTTTAATGCCCACTCTCTCTTGGACCTCATATTATCATTTTACTAACCCTCTTTGCTTACCTTTATCTAACACTCACATCGATATAGAGCGAAATAAGGACATGCTATATCAACTCACTACACCACTAACCGCTAGACAATTTACTTACGTTGGATATAAAAAATCACTAAAAATACACACTGCACCTAGAGCTAATGAATATACACTAGAATACTACGATCACAACATCATTAGAGCTAACCAAGATCAATTCTTAGACGACGATCGCTTCGCTAATCCACAAATCACCGAGAAATTTTTCATCAAGACACCATATGTATTTACACTAAACATCTTCGACCGAAAGTTTGATCACATTATTTCAGAAGCACTAACAAACACACAAGCATACGAAAGTTTTAAAGAACGCTTCCAAATCTTTTCACTAACCTTTCATTTCCTTGCACCACACGAAAGAGATTTACACTGCTCACACGATATTATGTTGCGCACTAAACAAACACATACATACAGTTACTATCGTTTCATCCAAAATCACTTTGACCTCCACACACCCTCTAGACAACCACACCATCGTTTCCAATTCATCAATTCAAAATACACTTCACCGTATTTCCTAAATTTCACATATTGTATTAAAGACACTAACCTCCATGGTATTCTTCGTAATTATGACCCCATAACCCAAATGTACATTTTCTGCCCCATCACCAAGACCTTCAACGCCGAAGAATCCCGACCCTTCCTTATCCCGCACGAGTTCCTACAACCTATAGAAATCCCAATTTTAGAATTCATCCACAACACTAAATTTAACCACAAATTATATAACTTAATCCAAAACACACCTTATGAGTTTGCAGTAGGCACTGAAGAACTAACCACTATTAAGGCACTTCAATTGCTTTGGCCACTGCTTCAGACTAAAAATATCATCCGCATTCTAGCTAAACTACTAACAACTTCAGAACTAATTCACGACATCTTCCCCCACGGTTTTTTCCCCGACGACTAACAAGTAAGTATGAATTAAGTAAATATTACTAACTAATTACAGTATTAAAAACTCACCATTCTTTATTCATGTTTTCTTTAGATTTTTAGCCTTCATCCTAGATCATCTGAAAAATTCACAAAAGAAAAATAAAAAATAGCAAACTTCTTCAAAACTGTTTAAGACCCTATTAAACTTTTGCACCAACAATTAAATAAATATAATACCAATGCAGTAAATTAATTTATAAAATTTTCCCCCAAAAGCAGTAAATCTACATATGATGAAAATTTGTATCTTAAAATTCCCCCATAACTAGCAGTAAATTTCCAAATTCTATGCAGTAAATTAATAAAATGCAATTGCAGTACTAACCTTTTGATATTTTCATTCATTCGCACAGAAATTCTATCCACACTCGCACAGCTCGCCCACGAAGAATTGTTTAAAATAATGAATTTCAGTTTCAAGTTTTCACACTCAACAACTCTAACATACAATAACATGTTTCAAACTTTCCTTTAACCCGGTTGGAAAGGAATCATATACTAAACAAAACTAACCAACGCAGCTTACTAAATACCACAAATCATAGAATAACAGCATGACTAAGAAAAGGAAACCAACGGTACCCAAACCGGATTAACCCAGTTAAAAACTGGATAATTTATTCTTTTGAAGACTATTACAAAGTCTTAGAAAGAAATAATAAAACACAAAAAAGTCGAAAGACAAACCCATACCACAAACAATTTGATTTTTGAAAAAAGGACACAACCAACGAAACATAAGAAAAACCACAACAAACCCAACATAAAACGTTGTCACATAACAGGACCCCTCACAAAAACCGCATGAAATCATACTCCCACTCCTGGCCTAACCCACCAGGAAGGACGTCCTGAGCATGCTCTATAGCCGGCCTAACCCACCGCGCTACATCCACGCTTTGTGACCACACCTTTATTTTTAATAAGAGCTACTCAAGGGTGAGTAACTCTTCAAAATAACCGAACTAAAACAAAAAGCTTTTGTGAAAACAATTAACTAAAATCATTATTAAAAAATATTAAACTAATAAAAGTTTTATAAAATGTAAAATCACATGATGCAATATATAGATCAGAATACAACACCAAGGACGAACATCAAAAGACAAGACGACCTCACTACACTCGAGAGAGAATGACCAACTACAATCGATATGCCGCTCACAATCACAACTCAAAGGATTTAGAGTACGACTTGACTTCGCAGAAAAGGACTTCATTGAACTAGACCAATGACCACCTCGATGTTCAAGTATACGTACAGATCCGAGTAACCAGGCATCCCCTCCACGCACAATCTCCACGCCATTCCCAAGCTAGATCAGACACAAAAGAAGTTCTCCCCGAAGAACAGAAAAACCTGACATAGCCAACCATTCTGAAATCAGAATTGATTTTGTTGCAGAGACTCAGTCGTTGTCACAAGAAGAAGCGGAAGAAAATTATGATGTTCGCCAAATACCAACGTCCATCATCCACCCTTGAATTACAGAAGAACTGTTCTAAAAAACTCTGTAAAACCCGGATGGGTGGAACCTGATCTAAACTATATTTTATGATTGGATAAATTAAATGTTTTACCAATGTAAAGTATTTAATATTAACCAATCATGATCCATCTAACTAACAACCCACTTATTTGTAAGTGCTGAAGTTACTTGTAATTTCAGCACCAGAGAGATTTGAATTTAACTTAGAAATTAGTTGGACTCTCCCGAGCACTTCAGCAGCCGCAATAAACCAGTATACCCTAGATCTATTGAGCCTAGCAGAGACTAGTTAAACAACCTGAGACTAGATAGTATAAGAGTAAGATTAGGATCGGTATTAGACTAAGAAGTTGCACGAATCTATCCGGCCGAAAATAAGATAGCGTGACGAGCAGACGGTGTACCCTATCCGAAATTACTCTATGAGTTATATACCCATCGGTCTTAACTCAATTTTTATAAATCTCGTGTTGAAACAAAAAATGACCAAAAATTTGATTTTCAGCAGTTTTCCAGCAGATGCTCAGCAGATTTTTAGTACAATTTCTGCAAAGGTTGTCGAGCCTCCCTCTTTTTTGAGCACTGTTCGATATTTGGATGTGATCAATCAACTAGGTTGAATCTTTTTTTTTTGCTTAAAAGAGGCCGATGAACCAAGATCCACGCAAAATCCACAACTTCACGGTTGTTTTGATTTAGATGCTGTTTGAGAAGGGTGAGAACTAGATAGGGTCGAATGAGGTGGTCTTCAACAAAGTGTTCTGCAGAAGGGGCTTCCACCAGCTCAGAGAGATATTCGCAGCCTACACTCAGTTCCACGAGGACGGAATTCTAGACACTATTAGCAATGAGTTCAGTGGCTGCACTGAGAAGGCATACAAAGCCATAGGTGAGTGAAAAAAAAAGAGATAGCCAACATTCGTTCTGCTACTTCTGGGACTAGAATTTGGGCAACTTCTTTGAGAAGAATTGAAGTGAGCAGTTTGTGTAGATCATCCGGGGGAAACTGACAACCCTGTTTGATAACTTTAATCGTTGAATTTTGGTCCAAAGTACTTTTTTTTCTGTCCGCATTAATAACGTAGCGCATTAGTTTTATATTCACTAGATAAAATCAGAGAAAACTATGCTTCGATTGACTGTTTGTTTTAGCGATCACCGCTTTGGAGGGAAGAGAGGCTTTCTTTGCAGAGAAACTTCACTCTGCAATGCAGGTAGAAAAAGAAGATAACAACTAGTTTTTTCATTTTTTTAAAAAAAGATTTTAGTATCTTTAAGAATCGAATTTTTGTTTGAATGTTAGAAATTATGATTTGAGTGACTTTGAATTGACTCAACGTCAGTTTAGATTTCAAATCATTTTTATGCACAAAAACTCGAAAAAAAAATTTTTTTTCCTATTGAAAAGAATAGTTGTGATCAAAACCTTCTGTGGTATTGGCACAGAAAGCAGCTATACTCGGTTCTATCAGCATTGTAATTAAGCCCTAAGAATCTCTAATTACCCTTACAGGGTCTGGGCACAGATGAAGACCGTGTGTTGCGCCTGATGGTCTCCCGATCCAGACAGGATCTACTCACTGTGGCCGAGAGGTTCCAGGAGAAGTACGAGCAGAGTCTGGAGGAGTTTGTAGATGTAAATATCATCCTTATACTTTTTAGAATTGATGCCTAATTGTTGACGATGTTCTTCCAAAAATCAACCCATCTAAACGCTGCGAAAAACCGATTAAACACACATTTCAGCCCATAAACATAGTGTCTAAAAACAAAAGTACTATACATTTTTATCCAAATAAGATGCCATAGGTCTTTCGTATTGAACAGTAAATTAATTTATACGAGAAATCCTGGTGAACATTTTAGATCCGCGCCTGATCAAACAACATAATGTGATTATCTTACACTTTCAAAACCTTCAGACAAGTATTTTGTTTTGACCAGATCGCTTCATTTGCATCAACAAAAAGATTTTATGGCTCGCTTGTTGCCGCGAGAAACTTTTTTTATTTCCCTGCTGTTGAACGGACACCCGAATTGCCGAAAAAATATGCTTGCGTATGTCAAACCTTTAAAATCAATCTTTGTTTCCAGGATGACATCTCCGGAGACTTCAAAGCAGCTCTACTGGCTCTGGTCAGGGGAAACAACTACTGATGAGCTACTCTATAAACGAAACCACGAATTTTGAAATAAATTTATACTATGTAAATCAGAAGCAAAAATCGATACTATAAAATAAAATCTCTAATTAAAACTAAAATTTATAACATATATCAATTTACTTTTTCTGAACCACAGTTACGACACGATATAATAAAAAGAAACGCTGTTTTTATGACTAAGCTAACTCTGGAATATTCGTTTTGTGTAATGGAGCGAGGTATTTCATTTTAAGCAAGTATAGTAAAATCAGAGCTCTGATATCTTGACCGCCCTTTAATGTGTCGGATGATTTTGGTTAAAAAATTTATGAAAACTTTTTGTCGGAAGTTTTTCATTTCTTTCGAAAATCTTCCCCACAAGCAATGTCATAAAATAAATTTATAAAACTCACAATTTTAAAAATGATGCGGCGGCTTTATTTAGGGCAAGCGTGTCAAAAACTTTAGGCATCCATTAATATGTGTTAACGAAGTCCAATCAAAAACTCTGGAACTAATATCATAATTTTGGAAGCCTCTGAAAAAAATTGAAATCCAGCAAAAAGCAGCATAATGACTCTTGTAAACACTGACGAATGCTGTTATCCAGCGATTTTTAATAGAATTAGCTTCAATTGAAATAACAAACATTTTCCCGTGGAACAAAAAACAAGCATCTTTGAGAGTTTGTCTCTGAAATCCATGATATTGCTGGATTTCAGATTTCCAAAGTCCTCTTTGTGGTCATAAAACATGCTGGCCACCTGCAATCAATCTCTTCCAGGTTTTGTTACGTATATCGAAACAAAGTTCAAAATTAGTTGAACCTAATCCACCAAGAGAAATTTAATCAAAAAATTTGAAAGTTACAAGAGATTTCAAGATGCGGGATATTCTGATTTTCCCCAGTTTTTTTCTTTTCCTGATAAATTTATCCCCCCCCCCCCCACGTGACTTACTGCAATTTTTTTTGAATCACCAAGTTTATTCAAGGGCCTATTCAAGTTTTTCACCCAAATAACTGACAATTTAATTGTTTTTGAACGTTATAAATGTTAATTTACTCTTTTTAATTGTATTTATCGAAAACCAAGATACGTAACAAAACCTGAAACTCTGTTCGAAACAATTTTTGAAGTTAAGGAAAAACGCATTTTTGTGTCCGTTAGCAATCCCAAATTGCACAATAGTGATAGTTTCCAAGCCTCATTATTATCTTAAAATAGCCAAATTCTTTTGAAAATATGGAATGTACGCCAAAATTCTGGGGGCTATTCTCGTAATATGATCCATATCCAGAGTTATTACATCCAGAGTTAATACACCAGTTTCAAAATTGATCCAGAGTTGTTACATCAATTTCATATGAGTTTCTTAACCTTCGTATTTTTGCGTTCAGTTGCCGTCATTTGAATTTTTGTGCTGTTGGTTTTTCGCCTCGTTCAATTCTGGAAAAAACTCTCTGCATTTTTTTCTTGAGTTTTTAGGAACAAAATAATCGTCCACAATGATGGCCTGACACGGGCAATTTCTCGGTTCCAACTTGAATGCTAGCGTTCGCAGATATCAGTAGTTCGTAAATTGTAGGGCGTTCCGATATAAATTTTTTTGATCTAAAAATTTTGAAAATAAGTAAAAAATTGATAATTTTTGTTGAGCCAATAGCAAGCGACTGGAGTTCCTGGCTTTGGCTGAAGCGATCTTAGTAACTTGCTGCTAAATTCTGAGGAACGAACCTCATGGCGAAAATTGTCCGCAAAAAATTTAACAAATTTTGTTTTTGTTTGTAAGTTTGTGTCAACCCTAGGGCTTGAACTCGACGATAAATGGCCTGAACATAATGGAAATAGCAACCATAGTGGATTGTGTAGGGTAAAACTTCTAGCAACGCCAAAATAAATCCAATCTCGAAGTCCGAAATTTTTTTCTTGTAACTTCCGTAAAATGAGTTCGTACTGGCTTTACTGTTTTCCTTTAAGAAGCGCCCAACACACAGTAGCTTTTCGCTCTCCAAAAACTGTAAGAACTTCATGAATTTGATCAAATGGCGCAGTCTTAATTGTGCCATCGCAAATAATTGTATCCAATTTCCACAAATTTTCAAAAGCTTTGTTCGTTGCAAAAATTGCTACACCCACGTCAGTGTTGAGATCCATCAAAAAAATTTCGTTTTGGTGAGATAAAGCACAGGATCCATCAATTGTAATGTCCAAGTTTTTATAAACTGCTTTTCATTTTCTAGTATTCAGGGGGCACAAAAATCACTATTTTCAGTTTCTGCGATAGTTTTTTCGGAATTACATTTTTAAGCTTTCAGTTGGGTGTTTTGAAGTATTTCAAAACATAATTCTCGAAATTTGTTTTCAGCTTTAAATTGACGATCGAGTTCGTGAAAATGATGTTTGTCGAAAGAAACAATTAAGTTTTTGGAAATATTTGTAGTTAATTTGGCTTTGCAATCAGGATCGTTGACACATCTGATATACACTGCGTTTACTTTGTTTATGCCAATGATTTTTTTTCGTTTTTCATGATGCTATTCAAAATGCAGTTTTTCTTCAATACGTATGTGTTCACGCAAACAGATAAGAAAAATTACCTATAATTTTTCCTAATTTTTTTTGCCTGGTGAAATTTTGCAGTCTGTATAAAACATTTTGTCGCTGTGAAGTGTTTATTTTGTTTATGCAATTTTCCTATTTATCTTTATTACTCGTGCGTACATTGTTCTATTTCTTTGAAATGTTGTACAATGGAAAGAAGGCGGAACTAGAAAACGTGGAGGGATCCAAAATTTTTTCCATAGTATCAGAAGTGCTAAACACGGTCGAGATTGCAAAGCGCTTACAACGAGACCATCGGAACCTAAAAACGTTGATTCAAGAAGCGAAAAAGTCCGAAGCAAAGAAGATGAGGTAGCGTATAAGTATCAAACAGAGAGAATACACATTTAACCGTTGCTATGAAAAAAACGCCTTTATCGACCAGCAGGAATATTTTCACGGAAGCGAAGGTAGCCAACTGCTGTCGAGCTACACGATGAAAAGTCTTGAAAATTCTTCAAAAACTCCGCAAAGCAAAATTTTTTACCCCATTGACAAAAGAACCCCAAGAAAAGCGTGTCCTGTGGGCAAAAATCTACTTAAAAATTGATTACAGAAATTTATGTTTCACGGACGAGTGTAGGGCAACCTTGGATGGCCGTGATGGCTTCGCCAGTTGTTCGTTAGCCAACGATTCTGATGTTCCACTGCGGTAACGGCGTCAACAAGGGGTGGGGCTGTCATGTTTTGGACAGCTATCAAATTTAACGAAATTGTAGGCCCCTTCAGAGTGCCTGATTGAGTTAAATGAATTCAGCTTCTTACGTAGAATTTTTGAAAGCTTATTTCGAACCATGGTACTCTAGCAGACCGCCCAATGAGAAAAAATTACTCATTTTCATGCAGGACAACGCCCCCTCTCATGCTGCTCAACATACCATGCGTTATTTAACAAGTATTGGCCTTTTTGGATCTCGTTCAATGATTTGGAACCCCGCATCACCAGACTTAAATCCGATTAAATACATGTGGTCTATCGTCAAACGCGACATTTACAGTAGTAACCAACAGTACTCGTCCAAAAAAGCCCTCTGAGAAGCCATCGTTATAGCTTGTAGTTGAATGCAACCGGATACTATCAGAAAACTGACTTCTTCAATTGATGCTCTATGATTGAAACTCTGAAACGCAACGGACGTCACATCGGGAAGTAACTTGCTAAACTGAGAACACCTTTTCTGTATTTACGCGTTGAATCAGTTTGAAGCGCTTTTTTGATACGTCGCCAAAATTCATTACGGTGTTTCTGAAATTTGCATAAACAAAATTAACAGTTAGTTTTAATCAGGCTTGAATTAACTGCTGAATTGTTCATATGCTTGTTTCTCGTTCTCTGTGTGATAATTTTTTTTTCAAAATGTGTTCTGGATACATTGCTTGGGAAGCTTGTTTTGTTTCGAGAATTGGTTAAAAAACATGGTTGCATAAGCAAAGTAAACGCAGCGTAAATACGGCCTTAAGATTTATATATTTTTTTTGCATAACGAAACCCTATAAAAAATTAAATTTGTTCCAATTCACCGGCGATCAGGGACAATTTGAAAATGTTTCACACTTCTGCCGTTTTATAATTGATTTTTCTTTTCGCGCATTCGGTCCTTCGCGTATAAAGGGTTCCACCCAAAATTCTGCCTACTAGTCTAAGTCTAATTAAAAAATTAAAAGACGACACAACGCGCCTAATTGTTTCATACTTTATTCGCCTGTTAGAAAAATTAAAATTTGAGAAAAAAACTTATTAACCCTCTGAGAAAACTTGCAGCTGACTTGAAAGCTTACAAAAAATTCAAACTGCTGGAAACCAATGCGAGATTCTGCAAAAGTTTTTTCAGAAGAAACATAGCAATTTTTTCAAAAGTGAACATTTTTTCACCTGTACCCCAAATCGGCAATGTTCAGGACTAGTTTGGAGACTCCTTGAAGTTCTTAGATACGATCTTGAAAACGTCTGTTCTGTGGGCATGACAAGTTATCTATGCGAAAATTCATGGACTGAAATATCGTTGCACGTTGAATTAAAATAAACTATTTGTCCACATAGCTTTGTACAAGACACAAATTGGAACACATCCCTTATTATATTAGCGGCGTCTCACGGAAATCTAAAAATTTCCACAGTCTACTTTTATCTCTTTTTTCTCGGAAGCAAAAGACCTTTTTCCAGGTAAGAACGTGTTTAGTAAAACAAAAAAATCTAGTTTTTAATAACCTAGCTAGTGGAAGACTGAGCATTTGTTTTCTTTTTGAGCCTTCGAGCTTGCAAGCAACGATCAGCATTTAAATACAACTTTCGGAAGTTTGTCGACACTTTTTTGACGGACCAAACTGGTTTTCCAAGTACTCCCAAACACTATACATGTCTCTTTCATCTTCCCAATTTTTTTTCGGTTGGTGGCCGAAGATAGATGTCCTCGCATAGTAGCAAAGTAAAGGTTAAGTGTTCGAGAATTAAGTTTACTAAAATCGAAACAAAGTCTCTGCGAATGCTTGTTAAATATGTG